TCTCTTGTGTTTCCTGCTTAGAGAAGTTCCTTTAGCATTTGTTGTAGTGCTGGTTTGGTGGTGCTGAATTCTCTTAGCTTTTGCTTGTCTGTAAAGCTTTTGATTTCTCCATCGAATCTGAATGAGATCCTTGCGTGGTAGAGTAATCTTGGTTGTAGGTTCTTCCCTTTCATCACTTTAAGTATATCATGCCACTCCCTTCTGGCTTGTAGACTTTCTGCTGAGAAATCAGCTGTTAACATTATGGGAGTTCCCTTGTAAGTTATTTGTTGTTTTTCCCTTGCTGCTTTCAATAATTTTTCTTTGTCTTTAATTTTTTGCCAATTTGATTACTATGTGTCTTGGTGTGTTCCTCCTTGGGTTTATCCGGTATGGGAGTCGCTGCGCTTCCTGGACTTGGGTGGCTATTTCCTTTCCCATGTTAGGGAAGTTTTTGACTATAATCTCTTGAAATCTTTTCTCTGGTCCTTTCTCTCTCTCTTCTCCTTCTGGGATGCGTATAATGCGAATGTTGTTGCATTTAATGTTTTCCCAGAGGTCTCTTAGGCTGTCCTCATTTCTTTTCATTCTTTTTTCTCTATTCTGTTCTGCAGCAGTGAATTCCACCATTCTGTCTTCCAAGTCACTTATCCGTTCTTCTGCCTCAGTTATTCTGCTATTGATTCCTTCTAGTGTAGTTTTCATTTCAGTTATTGTATTGTTCATGTCTGTTTGTTTGTTCTTTAATTCTTCTAGGTCTTTGTTAAATATTTCTTGCATCTTCTCGATCTTTGCCTCCATTCTTTTTCTGAGGTGAGGTCCTGGATCATCTTCACTATCATTATTCTGAATTCTTTTTCTGGAAGGTTGCCTATCTCCACTTCATTTAGTTGTTTTTCTGGGGTTTTATCTTGTTCCTTCATCTGGTACATGCCCTCTGCCTTTTCATCTTGTCTATCTTTCTGTGAATGTGGTTTTTGTTCCACAGGCTGCGGGATTGTAGTTCTTCTTGCTTCTGCTGTCTGCCCTCTGGTGGGTGAGGTTATCTAAGAGGCTTGTGCAGGCTTCCTGATGGGAGGGACTGGTGATGGGTAGAGCTGCATGTTGCTCTGGTGGGCAGAGCTCAGTAAAACATTAATCTGCTTGTCTGCTGATGGGTGGGCCTGGGTTCCCTCCCTGTTGGTTGTTCGGCCTGAGGCGACCCAACACTGGAGCCTACCTGGGCTCTTTGGTGAGGCTAATGGCAGACTCTGGGAGGGCTCACGCCAAGGAGTACTTTCCAGAACTTCTGCTGCCAGTGTTCTTGTCCCCACGGTGAGTCACAGCCACCCCCTGCCTCTGCAGGAGACCTTCCAACACTAGCAGGTAGGCCTGGTTCAGTCTCCCCTGGGGTCACTGCTCCTTCCCCTGGGTCCCTATGCACACATCGGTTTGTGTGTGCCCTCCAAGAGTGGAGACTTTGTTTCCCCCAGTCCTGCATCAAATCCCACTAGGCTTCAAAGTCTGGTTCTCTAGGAATTCTCCCTCCCGTTGCCGCACACCCACGTTGGGAAGCCTGACGTGGGGCTCAGACCCTTCACTGCAGTGGGTGGACTTCTGTGGTATAAGCGTTCTCCAGTCTGTGAGTCACCCACCCAGCAGTTATGGGATTTGATTTTGCTGTGATTGCACCCCTCCTAGCGTCTCACTGTGGCTTCTCCTTTGTCTTTGGATGTGGGGTGTCTTTTTTGGTGAGTTCCAGTGTCTTCCTGTCGATGATTGTACCGCAGCTAGTTGTGACTTTGGTGTCCTCACAGGAGGGAGCGAGAGCACGTCCTTCTACTCTGTCATCTTGGTTCAGGCTCTGAAGCTCAGGTTCTTGATGTCTCATCGCAGGAAGAATTCAGTGAGAGACAGTGGATTTATTTAGAGAGAAACACACTCCACAGACAGAGTGTGGGCCATCTCGGAAGGTGAGAAAGGCACCAGGGTATGGGGTTGTTGGTTTTTATAGGGGTGGGTAATTTCATAGGCTAATGAGTGGGAGGGGTATTCCAGCTATTTCAGGAAGGGGCGGGGATTTCCAGGAATTGGGCCACGGCCCACTTTTTGATCCTTATGGTTGGTCTTGGAACTGTCGTGGCGCCTGTGGGCGTGTCATTTAGCTTGCTGATGCGTTACAGTGAGCGTATACTGAGGCTCAAGGTCTAGTGGAAGTTGACTTCTCCGCCATCTTGGACCCATTTGGTTCTAATCAGCTTATGTCATGTCCTTGGGCTATGTCATTCTTTCAGAGGTTGTGCCTTGCTCCCTTCCCTCCTGTTTCATTCCTTCCCCAACCTACGGTTTTGGTCCAGAGGGAAGAGCTCTGGACTAAATCAGGACACCCAGATTCAAGTCCTGGTTCTGCCACTTGGTGGCTGAGAGACTTTGGGCAAATCCCTTTACTTGTCTGTGCCACGAGGTGGCTGTGAGGCCCAGGTGAGGAAACATGGTCCAGGCGCACAGCCCTGACTCCACGGACTCTCTCTTCCTGCTCGGCGCCCTGCCGTGTGGGGAGTCACTCAGTTTACCTTGAACCCTGGGCCCTTCCTCTCTTTTCTCTCAGTCGACCTCGATCAGAAGGGGAGGTCATTGGAAAAACCAAACAGCCATATTTTGGGGTAGAGGTGGCCCGTGTGAGTGCGACGCTGTGTGAGGCGTGGAGCCCCGACCCTGACTTAGCCCACTCTCTTCCAGCCCTGAAGGATGGCTTCCATGTTGGGGGACACCATCATGGTGGTCAAAGGCCTTGCCAAGCTGACCCAGGCGGCCGTGGAGACCCACCTGCAGCACCTGGGCCTCAGCAGGGAGCTCATTATGGCGGCCAGGGCCCTGCAGTCCACGGCCGCAGAGCAGATCGGCATGGTCTTGGGGCAGGTGCAGGTAAGGAGGCCAGTTGGCAGTGGGCGGGGTGCCAGTGGGAGGGGGCCTTGACAGTTTCACCATCCAAGGGGAGGGTTTTAAGCAAAAACGAGTGCTGGAGCTGTGGTTGTCAACACGGCCTGCTGTAGCAGAGCGCCATCCACCGTGGCATCACCGGCATGGTCCCCACCCCTGTTCCTGACAGTCTGAGGGCATGGGGAGGGGGCGTGTGTGTGTGCGCGTGCGCATGTGCACGCATGTGTGCGCCTGGGCATGTGTATGTCGGGAGCTGTGCTGCAAGGGTGCCCTGCTGCCGCACTCCTCCCATTTCTGCTCTGACCTTCTGGACAAGGACACGCACGCTCCTCCAGGCTGTGGGACATCCCAGCCCGCCGGCCTCTGGTCATTCTCAGAGTTAAGATTCCCAGCTCTCCCCTCATGCTCTCTAAGGGTCCAGTGGCGGTACTGTATCTCTCTCTCTACACAGATAGCTTCAGCTTGCAGAGGTGTTCACACCTGTGACCTCTTACAAGCCTCACAGCTGTCCTGGGAGGGGTGCAGACCCAAATGCTTCCCCCTTTCTCAGATGGGGAAACTGAGACTGAGCAGTTCGATGTGATTACTGATTGACAGCACCGGAATCCTGTGTCCTCTTCCCAGTCTCAAACTCCCCGCCCGCCCTCTCTCTGCTGAGGCTGGGCTGTGCCCTGGCAGCCTCATTTGGTGCCTTCGCTGGTGAGGAGCCATCGCCTTCCTGTTGGGTGTTTGCCTTGGAGCATCCGGGAAGTGAGGTTGCCCAGCACCCTTGGGCCGCCCAGGAGAGGAGCATGCTAGACATGGGCAGGCCTCCCTGAAGGGTGAGAGGGAGCCCAGGCTCCCCGCTCACCCCTCTGCTCCCCTCGGACGGGCCTGGCCCCGGTCCTTGGAAGAGGCAGGGCCATCCCCTGGGACAGCCCCTCGGAGGTAGGAGGGAGTGGCGGTCCCCCACCGCGAAGGAGGTGCCGAGCAGGGCGATGGTCTCCGGTGCACTCCCATTCTCTCCCTGCACACTCAGATGTGGGTTCCTCCCCTGTCTGTGAGGGGACGGAGGTGCAGGTACTCCAGAAACCTCTCTCCCTCTAGTTCCTCAAGGGATTCGTTCACTTATTCATTCGGCAGACACTTACTGAGTCTGGTCGCGTTGAGACACTGAGGCCCCTTGGCTGCCACATAAACAGCTTATGGTCACGCAGGGCCGGTGGCCAGCGCTGGAGTAATGGGGCAGAAGGAGTGGTGAGCCCGCGGCCGGTGTGGGAGCTACAGGAGTTACGTGGCTCTCGGACCCTGTCCCAGACTCCCTCACTCCAGGGCTTCCCTGGCCATCTGACAGGTGCCCCTTGATTCCAAATAGAATTCATTTCTGCTCCGAGGAAGGTGCTGTCAGGCGGCCTCGGGGCGGCCTGCGGGGCAGGCCTTGGCTTGGGATACCTGCTCTGCCGTTGGCTGCCTGGTGGGCCTTTACCGGATTATTTTAGCTCTCTTGGCCTCTGTTTGCCACTTACGAAATGAAAGCAGCAGCCTGTCTCTTTCCTTCCTCTGGAGGGCAAGTCTTATCTGCTCAGATCCCACAGTGTCTTGCAAAGCTGAGCGTGAGAAGGCTTTGGGGTCTACTGCTGCTTCTGCAGAACCTACAGGCCACACTCCATGCACTGAGTCCATTTCAGTGGAATCAGGGAATCCAGGTCCCTGACCTCCCTTCAGGAGTCAGTGCTGTTCTAATTATAGCCTTCTCGGCCCTGTTCCCCTGGCCCCGTCTGTGCTGCACGTAACTCTGTGACTGTGGGGGGAACCCTCTTTTCAGATGAGGAAGTGGCAGAGAGGGCTCAGGAACTCTCTCCAGGTCGCGAGGGGTTCAAAAGTGGAAAGAACCTGGGCCTGAAGCTCAGGTCTCGGCGACTGTTGCAGGGAAAACATGGTGTTCTCTCCCCCTCCTCTCCTGTCCTGTACCCCCTGCTCCTGGAAGAGCCGGGCCAGGTCCTGGATGTGACAAGCCCTCTGGGGGAGAGCCCCTCGGGGGCGCGCAAGGCGCTGGCCTGGAGAGGCAGGGTGGCCCTACCTGTGTGCTGCGCTCGCCTCCTCTGGTCTCCGGTTGTGCTCTTACTTCTCAAAGCTTTCCCCATCTTTTGCCCTGGTTCCCCTTCCCCAAAGCCCTGGTAGCTGCTCTTGAGCCCGGATTTACAGGTGAGGAGCTTGCTGCCGGGAGAGTGGTCGCTCCCCTGGTCTGGGCCGGGCACCCAGCAGGCGCTCAGGGACCACGGGCGGCCGGCTTGCCGGGGCCCACACGGCAGAGCCCTGGCAGGAGCAGGGCTGGAATTCGGGCCTCCCGGCTCCTGGGCTGCTGCTCGCCTCCGGCACTGGCCGCGGGCCACGGTGGTGACATGGTAGGGCCCTCCAGAGGGTCAGAGGGTGGGACGCGCTGGTGTGCTGTCCTGGCCAGAAGGGGATACACACAGGGAGGGGCTCCTGGCCGGACTCTTGCTCCTCTCACGTTGCCGTTTGTTCCCTGCAGGGTCAGGAGAAGCATGAAGAGTCTTATACCAAGACCTCTGGTGACCCGCAAGCAGAATTCCACTCCTCAGGGCTGAGGGCCGAGGGCGCCTCCGAGGAGCTGTCTGCGGCCTCCTCCCCCGATCAGTCCCCTCCGCCCTGGGATCACGCCCGCAGCCAGGGCCCAGCTCCTGCCTATGTTGCCAGTGGACCCTTTAGGGAAGGCGGGCTCCGGGGCCAGGCCGCCTCCCCTATGGGCAGGGTGAACGGGCCGCTCTTTGCGGACCCCAGAGACCCATTCTCTGCCACGGGCCTGCAGCGAAGGTTCTACCACCAGGACCAGTCCCCTGTGGGGGGCCTGACGGCTGAGGACATTGAGAAGGCCCGGCAGGCCAAGGCTCGCCCGGAGAGCAAGCCCCACAAGCAGATGGTGTGTGCAGGGGGCCCCCAGGGTGGGGCTGGGGGCTTCCCACGGTGCTGCTGGTGTCAGGCCCCCTCTTCGGGGACATTCTTCGGGTGCCGTGGCCTGGAATGTCAGGCACACGGAGGCCTCTTCTGGGAGGGGTGTGCTGCTGGGCGGAGCTGCTGCCTTTTGGGGGTGGAGAGGGCGTGTGGGGGGCGGTGTGAACCCCTGAAGGTCGGTCCTGTCCCTGTTCACTGATCCGCTGAGGTCTCTTTCTTTTCGCCCTCTAGCTCAGTGAGCGGGCTCGCGAGCGGAAGGTGCCAGTTACGCGGATTGGGCGGTTGGCCAACTTTGGAGGTGAGGTGCCAGTCCCGGTGAGTGGAGCGGGGGCCACCGTGGGGACTGTGTGCGGCGGGGAGGCTGGGGACCCAGGGGTGCCCCGGGGAGGGTGGTAGCTCCTGTGTTAGCCATGCCGGGATGTTTTCCATGGGTGGGCGATTCAGTGTCTGCCTCAGCTCACCCCTGGGGGTCGATGCGTGGCTGATTCCACGCTGTGGGCTGCGGCTCTGCTTCTCGGGGGGCAGCGTCAGCAGCATCAGCTTTTCACTCAGGCCTTTGGAGGCCCCTGCAGGGAGGAGGTGGGACAGTGGGGCTCTTTGGCTCCTGGACCCAGTGGTTTTTGCCCAGCCATTTGGGGACCTGTTTGCTGGATTCCCACGGGCCTGCGGGCATCAGTGGAATGATAATGAGGTGCCGTGGCCCCGAGCTGCTGTCCTCCATTTCAGTGTGCTGAGGAGTTGTGAGTTTCTTCTTTTCTTTAGGGGTCTGCATAGCCATTGTGTCCAGTACCCCGCTGTGCTCTCTTCGTCCAAGTTGGAGGATCATTTTATAGTGAAGGTTTACAGCAGTTGTCTCTGCTTTTATGACATTGTATTGTCATATCTGACCAGGATGTTCCTGTTGAAAGTGCCATCCTTTGCTATGGTTCTGCTTGAAGATGGAGTGACTTCTCTAAAGCTCGCTTATCCTCAGTAGGTTCTCCAGACAATACAGTTAATGAAAGTAACAGCCTTGGCAACTTGATTCGCGTACCCACCTGGGGCAGGTGCTTATTTGCGCGGCTCTGTGTAACAGTGGTCTCATTGATTGGTTCCTGTTGATGCCGGTGCTGACTAGTCATGAAAGCCCGCTCTCATGTGTCTGAGCCTTTACCTACCTGCCTTTTGCTTTGCTGGTTTGTACGTCTCCCCTCCCACAGACCGCACATCGGGCACGCTGCTCTCCCCGGCTGCCTCTTCTCTTGTGGAGACCCTGTCTTACTCCTTGTTCAGGGGTGGATCTGTGCTCCCTGTTAGCCTGGCCCTCTGGAAGCTGGCCTGATGTGTGGGTTCTAACGTTGAAGGAAGGCTGGCTGTCTTCCTTGGGTGCAGAGTAAACTAGGTTAATTGGATAGAATTTTCTCATCTCAACTCTGAGGTTTTCTTGCATAATTGTTATCTTAAAATGTGGCATCTGCTGCTACTTAGCTTTTCAGGAATCCAGCGTACAGTGTCATCTGAGTTTCAGCACAAAATTATTGCTTCATTTCACTTCAATGGGTTAACGTTTTAAGCAGTTCCTCGTAGAACATTGTAACTCCCTGGGCTGCCACTACCAGAATGGGCTGCTCTGGTGGCTTCCAGTGGTCCTTATTCCCCGGAAGACATGGCACTCTCCCTGCTTTGCTCAGTGGCTATTAGTCGGGACATTTATTATTCTTAAAGTATTAGATGGAGATTCTGTTCTCTCCCCCATTAGTTTGAGGGCAGGAACTGTTCTCTTCTTACTTTGTAGTTGGTCTTTCTCTGTAACCTATAATCCTCCTCCCCTCACTGCAGACCAGGGCTCACCACAGAGCTCTGTCCCCGTAAGGCTTAGTTTGACTGATGTATTTTAGAATGGGTGTAAGCCTCTCTCGTGAGTCTTTGCTGGGGTGGGGTAGTGGAGGACCTGTTTGGGAAAAGTGGTTAGGATGAAGGTCGTGATGGCCAATTAGTATCTGATGGAAGTCCTGGTGAAGCAGGCAGAAGTCAGGCCTTTTTGGGGGGTGGGTTAAGGAAAGCAGACTGAAGTGAAAGCGGTTGTATAGGAAGGCGTGTAGGACAAAAAGTCAACTTCGTTAAAACCAGGGTACAGGGCTCCCCTCAAGGCGTGGGGGACGTGGGCTGCCAGAGGGAGCTGGGGTTGGGGTGAGGAGAGACCCTGGTCTTTGTATGGGCTTTGCACCATCAGGAGCCTCTTGAGCCCTTGCTGACAGCTGCCTGATGCCTGGAGCCGCCCTTCAGAGTCTGTGCTGGAGATTTGCTCACAGCTGTGATTCTCAGCTGCACACGTTGTTGCCCAAGCAGTTGGCAGCTCATGTTTCAGGATTAGAGGTGGCAGGATGGGAGCAAAGAGGAGCCAGGTCTGGAAAGAACGTGAAGTTCTGGCCCCAGAGGTGAATTCTGGGCCTCCTACCCTATCCAGAGGTTTTCAAACTGGGGTTTATGACCCTTTAGTGAGTGTGAAATCAGTTTAGTGGGTCAGGACCAGCATTTAAAAAACAAACTAAATAGAATGGAATTGAATAGAAAAGGATCAGAATTAGTATCATAGATCCTTAGAACTGCACATGTTGCAAAAATATTTCTGTTTCAGAGATCTAAATATACTACTGATGTATGTTCTTCATTGCATTGTGAAGTATATGGCTTACTGGTGGGTCATTATCTAAACAGTTGGAAGTAACACTGCTCTACCTTCTTCTCCTAGAAAATACTTCTGGGCTTTCTTCCCCTCATGAGGGTGAGATGTTTTTGAGGTGTAGACTAACAGACTTTAGGAAGTTGTTACACTGCAGGTATGAAAGAAAGGGATTGCTCTAGATCTCAGGGGGGTAGGATTGTATTTGAGAAGGTCAACAGCAGGTATTCAGCTATATAGAGGCAGAAGGCAGGGCTTTCCATTTGGGTGGCTCATTCTGATGCTGAGATGGTGCAGGAACTCTAGGTCTAATTTGGCTGTGGGACATTATGGCTCTGATGCTATGGGCATGGTGATCTTTGGATATTAGATTTTGTTGGAGAATGAAATGAAAGATAGCATTAGATATTGGATTTGGGGTCAGAACTGGGCTTTAGGTCATCATAAGATTTGGGTTATAATTCCGGCCCTGCTTCCTGTGACCTTGGGTCTTGCCTTGGTTTGCCTTTCTGTGAAATAGGGGTCTTGCCATTGACTCCAATGGGAATATATTGGTAAATGTTCCATGTGTATCTGAAAAGAATTCTGGCATTGTCAGGTGCAGTTTATCTATCTGTCTAGTCTAGTTTGTTACTCATATTAATCAGATCTTTTAATGATTTTTTTGGTATGTGTATTCTTTTGTTCTTTTTTTAAAATTCTTTTTAAAGTTAATTTTTATTGGAGTATGGTTGCTTTACAATGTTGTGTTAGCCTACACTGCACAACAAAATGAATCAGCCATACAAAAACAGATATCCCCTCCGTTTTGGACTTCCCTTCCATTTAGGTTGCCACAGTGCATTAGATAGATTTCCCTGTGCTATGGTATGTTCCCATCAGTTGTCTGCTTTACACATAGTAACAATAAAGTATAGGTGTCAATCCCAGTCTCTGAATTCCTCCAACCCTACCTCTTTCCCCCTTGGCATCCATACATTTGTTCTCTACATCTGTGTCTCTATTTCTGCTTTGCAAATAAGATCATCTGTACCATTTTTCTAGATGGTATGTTTATTCTGTCAGCTATCAAAAGAGACATTTAACAGTCTTATGCTGTGATCATGGATTTAGCTACCTCTTAGTTCTGTCAATTTTTGCTTTAATGTTTTGAAGCTGTGTTATTGGTTGCTTACAGACTTAGAATTCTTACATCCTCCTGGGGATTGACTCCTTTATTATTATGTCTTATCTCTCTTATCTCTATGAAAGTCTACATTGTCTGATGTTTTCCAGCTGTTCTTTTGGGGGGTGGTGGTCAATGTTTGCATCGTATGTCTTTTTCCTTCCTTCTCCTTTCAGCCTTTTGTATTGTTATATTTAAGGTATGTCTTTTGTAAACAGCATATATATATTTTCTTTTCCTGTGATTTAGGTACAGACCATTAATCTTAATCTTCTAATGTATTTAGTTCATTTACATTTAATGGAGTTGCTGATGTATTGGGGTTTATATTTACTGTCTTAGTCTTTGTTTACTGTTTGACCCATCCATTCTGTTTCCTTTTTTCTCTTCTGTCTTACCTTCTTTTTAAAAATTTTTACCTTTTTTTTAATTGAGGTATAGTTGATGTATAATACTATGTAAGTTTCAAGTGTACAACATAGGGATTCACAATTTTTAAAGGTTAGGTTGCATTTGTAGCTATTATAAAGTATTGGCTATATTCCCTGTGCTGTACTATATCCTTGTAGCTTATTTATTTTATACATAATAGTTTGTACCTCTTAATTCCCTACCCCTTTCTTCCCCCTTTCCCCTTCCCTCTCCCCACTTGCCTTGCCTCCTTTTGAATTAATCAAAGAGTTTTTTTTTATTGTATATGTTTTCTCTTTATTAGTTTGTGTGTTATCATTCTACTATACTTTTAGTGGTTTCTCTTGAGATTACAGCATACATTCTTGACTTACTACAATGTAATAGAAATGATTATTTTTACTACTTCCCCAGTAATGCTAGCACTTCAGAACAGTTTAAATCCCTTCTTTGTGTGTGTGTTAATGTGGATATGTATTTTGTTTCTACATGTTTTATATTATATACTAAATTATTAAGATATGTTAAACCTTACAAGATGTTATTTCTTTGTATAGCTCGTATGAATTTAGATTAGCCACATATTTACCCTTTTTGTGTTTCTTTCTCCCTTCATTTTTTTTTTTTTTTTTTGCTGTACACGGGCCTCTCCTGTTGCGGAGCACAGGCTCCGGATGCGCAGGCTCAGCGGCCATGGCTCATGGGCCCAGCTGCTCCGTGTCATGTGGGATCCTCCCAGACCGGGGCACGAACCCGCATCCCCTGCATCGGCAGGCGGACTCTCAACCACTGCGCCACCAGGGAAGCCCTCTCCCTTCATTTTTATATTAGAATTACTTTTGGGGTAATTTTCTTCTTCTCTGCAGAACTACCTTTTCTCTTTTTTTGTAGTGCAGAGTGGTAATCATTAATTCTCTGTTTTTATTTGTGTGTAAATGTCTTTATTACACTTTTGTTTTAGAAGGTATTTTGGCTGGGTATAATACTCCATGTTCAAAATTAATTCTTTTGGACACTTTAGCAATATTATTCCATTGTCTTCTTTTTTTTGTTTTGTTTTGTTTTTGTTTTTTGGCCTCACCACGCGGCATGTGCGATCTTAGTTCCCTGACCAGGGATTGAACCCGCGCCCCCTGCAGTGGAAGCGCAAAGTCTTAACCACTGGACCACCAGAGAAGTCCCTCAGTTGTCTTCTTAACTTCCATTGTTTCTGTTGAAAACTTAGCTATTCGTTTTATTGCTGCTCCTTTGAAAGTAATTTGTATTTTGTCCTCTGCTTTTAAAATTTTCCTTTTGCTTTTGTTTTCCAGCAGTGTGACTGTGACATGCTTGGGTATGATTTACTTTGCTTTTATCCTGCTTGGGATTACAGAGCTTCTTAAATCTGTGCTTGATGTCTTTCATCAGTTTTGGAAAATTCTGGTCATTTCTTCAAATATTGTTTCTGCCCTGTTCCCTTTCTCCTCTCCTTCTGGGACTCCAGTTACACATGTGTTAGATCTTTCCCTTCTGTCATGTGTATCTCCTCTACTCTTTTCTATGTTTTTCATTTGTGCTTCAGTATTATAGGTTCAGAGGAGATGTCTTATCTCCTCTGCACCTATGAAATGAGGGAGAACTGGACGATTATAGAAATGAGACCAACAGATAAAGTAGGCACTAGAGAAAACTTACCAAAAGGAGTTGAGCACCATGTGCCTGACTTCCTGAGGGTACACGCTGCACACTTGCTGTCGCTCTAAGTAGCCAGCGCTCCTCCGGTGCTCTCTGAGGCAGCAAGACAGATGCCCTTTAGGTCCAAGAGAAGTTTGTGCCCTTGGCAGGGGTGAGGGAGCATGGTTTCTACTTTTTCCAGGAGCATACTTTAAAAGGGACTCTTGTCTATTTCCTGTCACTTAGAGCCTCTGTGAAGGAGATTAGGGCAGTTATAATCTCCAGTTACAGATGAGGGAGCTGAGCCACACTTGCCAGTCACCCAGGCCCATATGTGCATCTGTGACAGTCCTGGGACCCGGGCTGAGGAGGCCTGTATCGTACAGATGGCAGGCTGAGCCTGTCGCCCCCGAATTCGTCCCGTCTCCCCTGAGCCAGCAGAGGGGCTGTCAGGTCTCCCCCCGCCCCGCTCTGGCCTAGTTCTGAGAACCGATGAGAACACTCTACAGGGAGCTTCGCCCACTGCTCCTTCCTCTTCTCCTTCCTGCGATGCTGCGGGTTGCAGCCCCCTCCCAGGCCCCCTCTTCTTCCCGGTGCCTGGTGCTGGCACAGCGTGGAGGACGCAGGGTGGTGGAAGAGAAGGTGGAATTACCAAGGGTTCGGGAACACCTTGAAGTGAAGGAAATGTCCTTGTCCGCTGCCTTTGCTGTGTGGACTTTCTTGTCTAATCAGATCAGAAGGATTGTTGGATGTGTTGGAAAAGGGAGGCCTGAGAACAGTGCCTGGCACGTGGGTGGTGCTGTGTGAGTGAAGCGGCTTTACCCTCAGATCTGGCCCGCACTGCTGCAGAGGGCCTCCGTCCAGCCTCGCTCTGTGAACATGCCTGGGGGTTCCGGCAGGTTAGGCGCCCCTCACTAAGCCTCCTCACAGATGGTGCTGTTTGTTAGGAGGTTTTTATTCACGTGTTTCCTCTGTGTCTGTGGGGTGCTGCTCAGGGGGCACTCATTTGGCTCTGAGGACCTGCAGAGGGACTTCGGGGAGGAAGGAGCTGGGCCAGGGCCCTGGGCCCCCTGATCAGTCCCACAGCCTGGAAAGCGGCCCAAAGCACCCGCACCCCCTTGGGGAGACCCTGCTCCTTGCTGCTCGTCACTGCCACCGCGTTTCTTGCCTGCAAAATCTCCGTTTGTGAGAGAAATGTCAGGAACTTTCTTGGAAAGGGCTGGTGCCTTCTCACAGGCTAGGGTGGTGGCCAGGCTGCTGACGGTGGCCATGGGCCCGTGGAGCCGGTTCTGTGGCTGGTCTCCCCTGGGACATCCATGTGGGCCGGGCCGGGCCGGGCCGGGCCTGCCTGTGGGTCAGAACATGGACAGGCGCTGTCCTAAGGGCTGGGGGGCCGAGGTGGAGTGGAAGGCCTCAGGTGACTCCGGAGACTGAGCGAGCACGGGCTCGGGCTGTCCTCACCAACGCGGGGAGTCCGAGGCAGAGGCGCTGATCTCCCAGGAGCTGCCTGCAGGTGCCGCCCGGCTCCGGGGGGGGGAGGAAGAGCCTGGCTGGCCTCTGCCAGGTTGGGGATGGCGGGAGGGCCAGCCTGTTCTTGGTTCACTAGAGCAGGAGCTCCTGAGGTCCGGGCCGGCGGGACCGCAGTGGGGAGCCTGTCCCTTGGCAGCTCCTCGGACCTGGCCCTGAGGGAGCTCGCAGGGGCACAGAAGGAGCCTGCGGCCTGTTTTGCAGAATGTTCCCTCCATGATTCAGTGTTCAGTGACAGGTCCTTGGCCTTGGAGAGCTTTGGCTCTGCCCAGCAGCCCAGAATGGGCCAGAGAAGAGTTTGGCAGAGCGTGTGAGGGGGCCCAGCTGGGGGCCCTGCAGAGAAGGGCGCTCGGCGTCTGCTCTCAGTGGCCAGCCTGGGTAACCTTTGACACGTCTGCCTCTTTGGTAGGCTTGTCTTTGGACTTGATGTAGGCAGAGAAAAATCTAGAGGCGGAGAGACATTGGGGAAGGTCACTGCAGTTTGAAGGTTAGCGTTGCTGTTGCCATTCGTTTGCTGAGTTGGACAGTGTGCTGAGGTGGGGGGAGGGGAGGGGAGTTACCATTTGACCGGGGACGCAGCTCTGTGCCCAGTGTCCTCCGGGGCTGGGTTGGGGTGTCAGAGGGAAACAGGGCGTGGCAGCTCCATCCCAGCACGCCAGGGTGTCCTTGGGGGCATTTCCAGATGACCGTGGCCTCTGCTCTGGTCGCCAGAACTTGCCTTGTGCTGCCCTTGTGCTGACCCACCAGCAGCGTGGGGTGTTGAGCACTTGAAACGTGGCTGGTCCAAGCTGAGACATGCTTCGAGGACGAAACGCACATTGGATTTTGAAGACTTAGTACAAAAAAAAAAATAAAAAAAGTAACATCTCTCTAACGATGTGTATACTGAGTACTTGTTGAAGTGATAATGTTTTGGATACACTGGGCTAAGTAAAATATATGATCAGAATTCCTTTCACATGCTTCTTTTTGCCTTTTTTAACATAGCCCCCAGAAAATTTAAAATCATATACGTGGCTGGCATTATATTTTTTTGGCAGCACTGGTCTAGCCCTTTGAATAGGAGAAAGGACAGCAATAGCGAACACCTGAGTAGTGTTGCCTTACGCCCAGCCCTTCTGGGAGGGCTTCACTCTTATTCAGCTGTTTAATCCTCACACTGACCCATGAGGCAGGAGCTACCTGGCAAAGCAGAGGGTGAACGGTTGTGTAATGGTGGGTAAAATGTACTGCAAAAACATCTTAAAAAATTGGGCTATCCTCTTATGATTTTTAAAATGTATTTTTCATTAAATAACTTTTTCAGTAAATTCAATAATAATTTTCATAAAAGTAATACATAATCTTTGTAGAAAATTTGGAAAATGTAGAAGCATGTGCAGGTGTCCTTGCCCGGTGTGAGACTCCCAGCCCCCCAGGGCTGTGCTCGCCAAGGCCCACTGGCCTCGGGGCATCTTTGGCATCTTCCCTGGGTCTTTGCTGTCCCTCCTGCTGTGGTCAGCGTGCTCCTCCAAATGTTCCTCACTCTCTCGCCTAGTGTGCTCCCGCCTCCCAAGCCAGCTGGAACTGTATTTCAGTAGAGGAAATAGGCCCTGAGCCAGGCTCCTGGGCTTTCTGTGTGCATTTAGTGGCACCTGCTGGCCTCTCCTAGACAGTAGGGATCATCCAGTTCCAACCTCTGGACCAATGAGATGTTAATAAACCTTGATTTCAAAGATTGCTGATGGGAGAAGGAGGGCCTGGTACCCCACTGTCCTTAGACCACCGTCAGTGCCTGTGGGGCCTTCCCCGCAAGTGAGGGCTGTAGCCTGAGCTCCTGGGACTCCCCATGGCTTTTGCAAAATGTTCCAGTTTCCACCAATGACTGCTTTATATTGCAGTGGTAATGCCTCTCCTTGCGACTTCAGTGAACTGGGTTAGAGAATTCTAGAGTATTGGAGGCTCTTCACACAGACTATGAAGTGGGCGGCTGCATCCCAAGGGGATGCCCAGTGTTGTCAGGATGTCCTTGGCCTGCAGCCATTCCTGGTCCACATTCCATTTGTGCTGCGTCTTGCCCAATGCGTTTCTCCGTCGTACGTTGTTTTGGAGGTGTGTGTGTTTGTCGCGTGAGCCTGTAGCAAAAGTGATGGAAGTGGCGGTGGAAGAGGCTTTTCCAGCGAAAGCACCAACCTTGAGGCAGGTCTTCTCTGAAAACAACAGCTGTGTATCTCCTACCTCCTTATCCCCTCCCTTTTCAAGATGTCTGGAGTGTCAGCGAAGGTTCCCAGGGGAGCGAGGCAGGTGTCTGTGTGGGGCTGCTCCGGGCCTCGTGGGTGGCGGGCAGTGGGCAGCCCCTGAGCAAATGTCCAGAGCCCTCAACCTCCTCCTTGCAGGTCTGGCCGTGGGTCTGGGCTTCGGGGCCCTGGCCGAGGTCGCCAAGAAGAGCCTCCGCCCTGAGGACCCCTCAGGTGAGCTGGGCCCTTGATGGGGAGGGCAGGGTGGGCCCTGAGAGTTGGGCCTGTCAGCTCCCAGCTACCACCTGCGTTCCCCGAGGGTTGGCCTCCAGAGGCACCTTTCATCTTGTGTTCCGTGTTCACGGCAGCCCTGGAGTTTGAGGCCTGAAGGCTGTTCTGTTCCTGTCCCGGCCCACGTTGGCTCACCCAGCCGTCCTGGTTCCTCCGGGCCCGCACACCTTCCCTCTTCTGATAGGAGCCTCCGGTTTGGCCCTGCCTCTGCCCCCGCTCTGCAGAGCCGCTGGGGTCCCAGGTCTGGCCAGGTCAGGTGCCCAGGGCTCCCCGTTTGGCTGTGGTCGAGGGGCGTGGGAGCTGCTGGAACAGACCCCATGGGCCCCCCATTCCCCCACCTCGTGACCTGGGGTGGCCATTACCCCTCCAGCTTCAGACGCTTTGTCTCTGAGGTGAAGATCGTGACTCCTCTGTCCCCTGCCTCCCAGGGTCAGCCCGGGGTCAGGTCAGAACACTCAGTTCGCCTTGTCTGGGTGGCCAGCTGTGGGTGGTGCTCCATGGAGAACATTCTGCAGACCGGCTGCTCTGAAACCTGGGGTGCTTAGGGTGCTCTGACGATGGGTCAGGGGGCAGCTGGAGGCTCCACCCACCTCCTGCCCGGTCCCCTCCCCCAGGCTTGTCCAGGTGTTGGGGGGAGGCGGCTAGGCAGGTGCAGGACGCTTTCCCTTCAGCAGGGTCCTGGGGGCTGTTGAGAGCAGCCCTGCTAGAGCCATCTGCTTGGTGGATTTCTCAAAGTTTACCTGAAGTTCTGGGCTGAGTGCCCCCTGCCCCTGGCCCATTCAGGGGACATCAGTTCGTTCCGGTACTTGACACCTCCTCCCCCCTTCCCTGGGGACCCTGAGTGATCCCCACTGCCCTGCTGTGCTGTGGTCCCTGAGGCCCTAGCTACAGCCTGGGGGCCCTGAAGGGGGGCCTGCCAGCCACCTGGATGGCCCCGCTTCACCTGCAGGACCCTCTCGAGGGGATGGGGGCTCTGCGGAGAAGGTGCTAGCCTGTCCTCCAGGCCCCTGAGTATGTGTGTGTCCTTGGAAGGGACGGGAGAGCAGAGAGGATTAGGGAGGGTATTTTTAGTGTTGGTGCTGAGACTCTGGGAAGTGAGAAGCCAGCCTTCCCCAGGCACAACCTCTCCCATCGTCCCCCTCAAAACTGGCTGCCCTCCGTCCTGCCCCGTCCAAGCAGGAAAGAAGCTATGCTGGCCCCAAGGTTACAGCTGGTGTCCTTTGTCAGGGAGGCGGTGGCCCTTGTTGGGGGTCAAGAGGCCTAGGTGCCACTGGCCCAAGAGCAGGACACGGGGCTCAGGCCCAGAGGGACGTGCTCTAGCTTCCTGAGCAGGCCTGGGAACCCCTGGGCCTGGAGGGCACCGACCAGCCTGGCCCAGGCCTCCCCAGGGGCTAAGCCTCTCCTGAGGGGGGCACGTGCCCACCACACCCTTGAACACCCCCGGCTCCCCCCGGGTTGTTTTCAGAACCAGCCTTGCCCGGGCAGGGGCCCAGACTCCAGCCTGTGGACAGTGGCCAGCCGTGAGGAGTGGCTGCCTGGGAAGCTCAAGAGGGCCGGGCGCCGTCCCTGGATTTCGGGGGTGCCGCTGTCGCCCGGGTCTGCTGTGTCCCTAGGGGAGAAGATCTCCCTCCTCCTGCCGGGGCCGTGGCGTCTCTGCCCTGCCCGCCTCTCCTCAGGGACACAGACCCAGGTCCCGGCCCACAGGGCCCAGGGGCTGGGGAGGGCAGAGCGGACATAGAGGGCCGCCTATCCCTGCTGCTGCCCGAGGCGAGGGGTGATCTGGGCACCCTTCTTGGCCTAGACACCCTGGAGTGGCCCTGCCCAGGGGCTACAGCTTTCTTGACCCCCGGCAGCTGGGCTGCTTCCTGTGGAGCTGAGATCTCTCCCCTTCCCGGGACCCTGTCCTGCTGTCCGGGACCTTGGGGTGAGCCTAACCCCGCGCAGGCCTAACAGCTGCCTCAGGTGTGGGCCTTCAGTCTCACATCCCCCTGCAGCCCACCCACCCTGGTGTATCAGAGGCCAAGCTGGGCACGGCCCCGGACAGAGGGCAGTGGCATGACGGCCGCCTCCCGTGTTCGCGCCTTGGGGACCCAGCTCAGACCCACTCTGAGCGCTGGGCCAGGCCCGTGGTGATGCTGGCTGAGGAAGATGCCAGGCTCTGTGGGGGGCAGCCCTCGGGGGTTCCTGATCTAACTGGGCTCACAGGACAGAGGGCAGGAAAAGCACCGACTGCCACTGGGTCACCCCCTCCTCATCACCTTGAGTCACCACCCTGCACCCTCCCACCCCCAACTGTGCTGAATGGAGGTTGTCCGCACACCTGAGGTCCCTATGCGTTCTCCCCAGGCCAGCTGGCACCAGCCGGGTGAGGCTGTCCTTGACCCTGAGCTCCCCTCCCTTGAGGACTGCGCTCTCACTGCAGCCAGTGGCCCCAGGTGACTGTGCAGAGAGTCCAAGGGTGCTGGTGACCTTTGTCCAGCACACTGAGGGGCGAGGGACAGTGACTTGGCAGGGGCTGTTACGGAGGGAGAGACCCCGTGGGCGAGCCTGTGTGTGTGTGTGTGTTGGGATGGTGTTGGAGGTGGGCCTGGGGAGACCTGGGTGGCCCCCGAGGGCCTTCCTCGGCATCTGGGAGGTGGGTGTGAAACGTGGGGTTAAAGTTGCATTGCCGGTTTTGTGGACCCCGAGGAGGAAAGACGTTGACTGAGCCCTTTGTGTCAAGCTCTGTGCTGGGACTTTACTGCATCTCACTTAAAACGTGTTAAACCCTGACGTCTTGTTATTGTCCCTGGACCCACAACCAGGGGCGGGTGGAGGGGCCTCTGGGGGATCCCAGGCCCAGCAGCCCCGCCTGAGGGAGGCCATGGTGACTTCGCTCCTCTGCAGGGAAGAAGGCCGTGCTGGATTCCAGCCCCTTCCTGTCAGAGGCCAACGCGGAGCGCATCGTGCGGACGCTGTGCAAGGTGCGCGGGGCGGCGCTCAAGCTGGGCCAGATGCTGAGCATCCAGGGTGAGTGCGGCTGCGCGGGCTGGGGGCGGTGAGGCAGCGTAGGGAGGGGAGCTGGGGGCGAGCAGTGGGGGGCGCCGCACCTGGCCCCGATGGGAAGGGGTGGGAGGTTTCCTGCCCACGGGCTTCTCTTGTTTGAAGCTTGGCTGTTAACCCACCTGGGATGTTTAAAAACAGTGTCTGAAATAGGAGCCCATGGTTGTTTTTCCGTCTTCTTTCTGAGTGTTTTGACATGTCCAGAGGTCCTGGCGTCTCAAAAGTTGGGGAGAGTCCGGCTGATTCCCCCTGGTGCCCCGCGCGGTGGTCCGAGGGTGCTGTTTGGGGAGCTCACGGGCCTGCGGTGGCGTGACACCGGGGCATGGGCTGTGTGGCCCCGAGGAAGGAAGGCCAGGGGAGACGGCGGCGGCTGAGCTGGAGGCTGGCTCATTGCAGCCCCCAGAGCAGAGCTGGGGTTCGGGGGGCCCTCCGGGCTTCTGATGGTGCCTCCCAGGGAGGAGCACCCGAGGGGCTGCTGTCCTGAGTGGAAGCACAGCCAGTCCCCCCACAAGCAGTCAGATGGACTCGCTGAAGTGGCCAAGTGCAGGACAGGAGTAACCACCCAGGCAGGTGGGCGCGGGCGCTGCCTGTGCCGGTGCGGACTCTGGAGTGGCACGCGCCCCTCGGAAGCCCTTCCGTGCGTGAGCCCCGCCTCTAGGACGGAGAGCCTCAGAGATGCGGTCAGGGCTCTGCAGGAGCGGCTTCATCGAAGGATTCTTTCTGGTCTCAAATAAACAAACTGAAGTCAGCCGCCGTCCGGCTAGTGAGCTGCGTGTTGAAGCTTCTGTGTGTGTTACAGAATATTTCAGAAAGCTATTCAACGACGTGGCAAGTGCTCGTGAGAAACGGCTGCAGGAGGGGAGTCGGCCAGAGCGTCTCCAGGCAGCGTGACTGCAGTCAGGGAAAAACGCATAGGAAAGGGTCAAAACGAAAAAAGAGATCAGTAGTTCTCTGTAGGTAGATTATGGGTATTTTAAACATTTAATACGCTTTGTTCCCTAAATGTCTTTCTTTTATAATCATAAAAAGCTATGCCTGCTCTTTCTAAGGAATCCACCTCCTCAGGTCCCTGGGTGAGGGTGAGTTCATAGGCCGCGGCACACGCTGCCCCGCACGCCATCGGCAGGGCCCCAGCTGCACAGACGCACCCAGTGCCCGGCTGGGGAGGGGTGCCGTGGGCCGGGCTGCGGGGGTCTCGGATTTGGTTGTTGGCTGAGGTGGGCCAGGAGCGTGCACGGGTCAGCGTCCCTGCGTCCCCTCTGGAGCCTTGGTCCGCAGTATCAAGGGTCTGTGTGCCAATGGGGAAACGCTCCGCGGGAGCAGGAAGGACCCGAGGCTGGGCCTGCTGTGTGGCGTTGGGCCTGTGCCTCGTCTTCTCTGAACCTTGGGTTCAGCGTGTGAAGGGCAGAGCGGCACCTCGGCCTACCCCCCCGGGAGACCTCGCTGGGCAGGGCTGATCGAGGTGGCCTGTGCACCCTCCTTCCGAGGGGTCAGCCTTCCGCTCTCTGAATGCTCTGCTGCCTTCCAGACGACGCCTTCATCAACCCCCATCTGGCCAAGATCTTCGAGCGGGTCAGGCAGAGCGCAGACTTCATGCCGCTGAAGCAGATGACGGTGAGGCCGGTGCGGCTCAGGGTCCGGGCGCTGGCAGCCCTGCGGGAGGGGTTGGGGAGGGCCCCTCAGGGTGTCCCCGGCGGTGCTCATGGCCCCTCCCTGGCCTCTCCCTCCAGAAAACTCTCAACAACGACCTGGGCCCCAGCTGGCGGGACAAGCTGGAGTACTTTGAGGAGCGGCCCTTTGCAGCCGCCTCTATCGGGCAGGTGCACCTGGCCCGCATGAAGGGCGGCCACGAGGTGGCCATGAAGATCCAGGTGGGCACCCGGGGTGTGGGCTCAGTGCCCTGAGGGGCTGCACAGGGCCGAGCCGGGCCCTGCAGTGCGGGGCCTCTGCACCCCACGTCCCCTGTGTGTCCCCGTGCCCAGGGCAGGGCCTGTGTCTCTTCACTTCTGTCCCGGGACCTGGTCAGCGGTGGGTGCCGAGAAGTATTTGCTAAGTGAGTGACTGTAGGAGGGAGGACAGCCTCCCAGCACGCTTGGTTTGGTGGGGGCAGGGACTGGGGACAAGTGACTGTCTGGGGCCTGAGCCGCAGGGATGGGGATGGGGGAGGGAGCGGTCGGCGGTGGAGAGCAGGGTCGCAGTGGGCCCGGGGGTCACGGCAGCCCTGGTGGGTCTTGGCTCTGCCTCGCGGAGGTGCGGGGTCCGGGAGGGACACAGCTGGGCAGCTGGTGGGTGGCAGGGGGGCGGGGGCGCCGCGGGGCCCTGCTGTGTCTGTCTGCCTGACTCCCCTCTGTCCCCCGCAGTACCCCGGCGTGGCCCAGAGCATCAGCAGTGACGTCAACAACCTCATGGCCGTGCTGAACATGAGCAACATGCTTCCAGAAGGTCTGAGGCTGCCGCTGGGCAAGGGCAGGCCTGTGGGCGGGCTCTAGGGACCCCGGGGGGCCTCCCGGGGAGCCCCCAGTCCCCCTGACGCCCTCCTCCCTGGCCCAGGCCTGTTCCCTGAGCACCTGATCGACGTGCTGAGGCGGGAGCTGACCCTCGAGTGTGACTACCAGCGAGAGGCCGCCTGTGCCCGCAGGTTCAGGTGCGGCTCCAGCCTCGGGCCCTTGCCCGTTGCTCCCGCTGGGGAGACAGAAGGGGCGGCTTCGGGCAGCCCATTGTGGGCTGAAGGCCCCCCCCCCCCCACTTCCCCCGGCTCTGAGGGGCGATGGCTGGGGTTGGGGCCTGAGGCCAGGGCCGTGTCCCGCCCAGCTCGGGGCAGGGCCCTCCTCCGCCTGGGGGGCTCAGCCCCTTGCTGTCCTGTGTGTCGCCCCAGTGTGTTGCTTGGGTGGGATCAAGGAGGCCCGGGTGTGACCTCCCACCCGCCCCTGCTAGGGAGCTGCTGAAGGACCACCCCTTCTTCTACGTGCCCGAGATTGTGGACGAGCTCTGCAGCCCCCATGTGCTGACCACGGAGCTGGTGTCTGGCTTCCCCCTGGACCAGGCCGAGGGGCTGAGCCAGGAGATCCGGAATGAGGTGGGTCACAGGGTGGGCCTGGAGCCCCGAGGCCCCACTGTGGGGCAGAGCGGGCAGGAGGGCTGCTGCGTTTACCCACCTGGTGGTACGCTTGGCCTCAAAGTCAGCTCTGGGCGTGAGGCAGGATGGGGTGGAAGATGGGGAGGGAAATGGGAGTCAAGCTTCCCCGGCCCAGATCCAGGGGCCACCGGGTGGCCCGGTGCTGGTGACGAGGACCCACCCGGCCCCCAGATCTGCTACAACATCCTGGTCCTGTGCCTGAGGGAGCTGTTCGAGTTCCACTTCATGCAGACAGACCCCAACTGGTCCAACTTCTTTTATGACCCTCAGCAGCACAAGGTGAGTGCCCGGTGGGGCCCCCACAGGGAGCCTGAGCTCCGCTGGAGCAGGGTCCGAGATCTGGGGGTCTCAGCCTTCTGCCGCCCTGTCCCCCCAACCCGTGCTCCACTGGGGCAAACCCTCCCCGGTATCGCCCGTTCCCAGGTGGCTCTTCTGGACTTCGGGGCAACTCGGGAATATGACAGATCCTTCACGGACCTCTACATCCAGGTAGGGGTGGAGGCAGGGCTTGGCCTTGGCCCTTGCTCTCCTGAGGCTCAGATGGGATGCTTGGGACTCGGGAGTGGGCGGGCGGGCGGGCTTCTGTCCTCATGTCCCTGCCTGTCCGCAGCATTTGGTGCCCGTGGATGAGGCCGCAGCCACCTCGGGCTCAGGGGAGTAAAGGGGAAAGGTGGGTGGGCCGGCAGCTGGCCTGTGTGGGGAGGGGCAGTGCTGGCTCCCTGGACCCCCAGGAGCTCCCCTCTGCGTGCTGCCCACGGTCCCCTCTGCACCTCCGCCCAGATCATCAGGGCTGCTGCTAACCGGGACAGGGAGGCCGTGCTGAAGAAGTCCATCGAGATGAAGTTCCTCACCGGCTACGAGGTCAAGGTGAGCTCCCCACCCCCCCACCCCCGCACCCTCCACCGTGACTCTGGAGACGAACAAGGCCTGCTGAGCCAGACTCAGCCCCAGGCCATGGACTGCTTTTCCCTTGAAATCCGAAGGGAATCTCAGTTTACAAATGAGATCAGAAGTGACAGCTGCTCTCGAGGGTCTCCACAGGGCCCCTGGGCCGGCCCCGCCCCAGCCCCGGGGCTGAGGGTCTCAGAATGCCAGGGGACTGGCCACCAAGCTCTTGTTTTATGCCCCACTCCAGCCCATTCGAGATCCCAGTCATCGTGTTGGCGCTCGGGGCCCGGGTGGGCAGATGGGATGGCAAAGCACAGCCCTCACTTGCTCAGGCCTCACCGGGGAAGGGGTGAGGGGAGCGCTGGAAGTAGTCGTAGCAGCCCTTTACATGAAGGGGCGACCATCTGTGTTCCTGTCACCCAGAACCCACTCAGAAAGCAGCACTTTCCTCTCCTGATGACAGTGGGGAAGGGTTGCAGACACACAGGTGGTCTCAGGTCTACCACCTACGAGGAGTGCAGAGGCTCAGGTCAGCTCAGGCCTATAGACTGTTCTTCTGGGAATGACAGGTGTTTCGGCCGCGGACCCCGCCACTTCCTTTCTTCTTCCATGGAGCCCAGTTCACACATTAATGATGTTCTCCTGGCCCCTGTTGGTTTGAGTTTACACCCTGGTTAACGTTCTTCAGTCTGGTTGAAACACTCACTTACCTGGCCCACTCGTTGGCGAGCACTCAGTCTAGGCCCCGTGATGGGAGCCCTGGGCTGGTGAGGGCTCTTTGATCTTGCCTCCACTCACCTCCCTCCAGGCCATGGAAGATGCCCACTTGGATGCCATCCTTATCCTGGGGGAGGCCTTTGCCTCGGAGGAGCCCTTTGACTTTGGCACCCAGAGCACCACCGAGAAGATCCACAACCTGATCCCCGTCATGCTGAAGCACCGGCTTGTCCCGCCGCCCGAGGAGACCTACTCGTTGCACAGGAAGATGGGGGGCTCCTTCCTCATCTGCTCCAAGCTGAAGGCCCGGTTCCCCTGCAGGGCCATGTTCGAGGAGGCCTACAGCAACTACCGCAGGAGGCAGGCCGAGCAGCAGTAGCCGCGGGCCCGGCCGCTAGGCGGGACCCTCCGTCCTCCTGCCGCTAAAACTCGTAGGAAGCCAGTGGTACCCACGCTCCATTTAAGCTTCACCCAGTGAGAGGTGGCCGCGCTGATGGGGGGGCCGCTGCTCAGAGCCCGTGGCCAGCACTTATACACGGTTCTCATCGCTGAGTGGGTGTGGGGTGAGAGGCGCCAGCACGGAAATGCAGCCCCACTGCTGTCTGGCAGAATCTGCTTATTGTTTACTCATCCTCTGGAATGACTCTCGATAAAAAGACGATTTTATTTCCTTTTCCTTTTTGTAACAGGGCTTTTTGCTAATGTGAATGGTAACCAGAAGAAGATGAGAGTTCTCCCTTTGAATCCCTGCCACCAAAAAAGAACCAAAAACAAAACAGAAAAGCCTTTTTGGATTTTATGGAGTGTGTAATACAAGGTTTGTGTGTGTGTGTTTCTAGAATGAGATTTGTGTTTTCTGCCTTTTCCTCTCCAGCTTGGATCTGCACCTGGGAGAAGTGCTGATCTGAGCAGTGCCAACAAGCACTACTTCTCCAAGCGAGGCCCACCCACACCTGCTCTCTGGCTGGTTCCTAGAGGCTTTTTTTGACAAGCAGAGGTTTCCAGAGAACTGCTGCCTCCTGTGGGGAGGGGCAGGAGCCCCAGAAGGGGAGAGAAAGCCGCGTGCTCTCTGGGTGTGTGTGGGCCCTTCTTCCCGCTCCGGCGCCTGGGCCTTTTGTGGAAGGTGATGTGCACGTGTCATCTGCTTGGACCCAAGGGGTCGTTTCAGGCTGTTAACCTCTGTACAATTCTTGTAATTGTCTGATTTACTTGTTTCAATTAAAAAAAAAAAATGCTAGCATGGTGGCATTAATTCTTTCACTTGTAAAGGATTCTGAGCTGATGGTGAGGACCCGGAGGTCAGCATCACACCCTTTCGCGCCTCCAGACGCTTCTGCAAGGTTTGCCCCTGTTCCCAGCGTGAGGCTCTTGGTGCCTGAACCCGGAAGGCTCAGCCCATATTCCTCGTCGGAGAAAGGGTGCGGGGAGGGCACGGCACAGCTGCCAGGTCCCTGCCGCAGCAGCTTCCCAGGCCCCACTGCGCAGAGGCGGAGAAGCCACAGCTGCACCAGAGGCTGTATGACATGGTGCTGGCAACCGCGGGAAAAGGTGGCCACCAGCCAGCAGGGCGAGGGCCTGGCTCGAGCGGCAGTGACGCCCGGGTCAGGGATCAAGCGCGGCTGAGGCGCACTCTCCTGGGGCAAAAAACTTCACTCCTCGGTCACGGGGGCGTTTTGAACGTTCAAACGTCCCAGCCCAAGTCGTGGGAAGTGTCTGCTGCTTCTCTGCAGGAGGAAGATGGAAGATCGAAGGGCTGCCCCGTTTATAGTCAGCGGTGGCACCGGCAGGGAAGTCCAGAAGAGGGGAGTTGAAAGTTTCAAGGGAATGGAACACTATGCCGCCTGAGCTATGGAAGGGACTAAGGAAGTCCTAGATTAACCCCACGCCCTTCTAGCGTAACGAGGAAGCTGGATGAGGAGAGGGACGGGCAGAAATGGGGGTCAGACGAGACAAAAAGAGTCAGTCACCTTTTCTCCATTCCTCAGACTTTTTAATCAGGGAAAAGAAGACAAAATGCTCAATTCGAACAGTTCCCTGTTTTATTGCAATACATCAGAGTCTGGTTAATATTAAGTGATACCAACGTAAAATATCGGCGAGGCGTCTTCTGTTACATTTTGACTGTCCCACCTTAAATATTTCTGTGCAAAAGAATCCACACCATTGTTTGGTAGCAGAGAATCTCATAAAGTTCCCTAAGACAATGAGGGGATAAAACCAAACAAAATGAAATGAGTGACAAGAGGCCAAAGCAGTATCTTTTCCCCTTCCGTACACACTTATTTGTCAGCATTATATTCTAAACAAAAAAATGATGACACCCAGGCCATGCAAAACTGTACAATAATATTACAATGAGAAAAAGAAACCCTAAAAAATTTATCAAACAAATGGTATTACACTATCAAATAAAAAGGCAGGTCATTCTGTTTTCATGAAATTTCAAGGTTGCCTTGTTTTCATCAATTTCCCCCCATAAATGCAATGGTTTCTGTGTGTAACGGTTGTCCCTGGGAAGGGAGAGGAGCGCCGGCCTACGGGCTAGCGCTGAAACAAGACACCAGCTGAAGCGAGGCCCTCTAATGGCGCAGGACTCTGCAGAGAACGCTGGAGTTGCGTGATCAAGTCATCACTGGCAAAGAGGTTTTCACATGGGCCCAACGAAATGCCATGTGGCTTATCTAACGAATGCAGGGACTGGGCCACCGAGAGGTGGGGAGCAAGGCGCCCAGTTACCTCCCTGTTTTGCCCAGCGGACCGGGGCAGTGGCGAAGTCTGGCCGCTGCCGAGAGTGCCCCTCTGTCCAGAGAGTGGATACTGAGCTTTACAAAGCTCTGCGCAGCTGGGAGACTACAGTGTTCATGGCCAAAGGCCAGCAAACGGCCCTGCTGTACCTGGGGGTTAGGGATGTCCACCCACTCCTACTCTGGATTTTCTTTAATGATACCTGAGAGTCCACAGAAATGCAACTGGTCTTTCACAGAAGTAGATGCGGCCACTGAGTAGCAAAATGACAGGATTCTAACCATATGGAAGGCAGACAGAGGGGCTGAGAGGCAGCTGGGGAATGGCAGAATTTCAGATTCTTCCCTGAAGCCTGGGTACAAGAATTGCTTGGAAAACTCAGTAGATGGGCCCTTTTTAATTGTATTTCATAGCCTTAAAACCATGCTCCCTGGGAAGGAAGATAAATCACTAAGTGTAGGGATGGGTGTGTGCGCGTGTGTGTGTACGCACATAACTAAAGAAGTGAAATTTGCTTTAGCAATCATTTGACAAGGAGGAAGGCTTTTGTTTTTGGCAAAAAGAAATATATATATATATATATATATATATATATATATATATTTAATTTTATACACCCAAAGCACGAGCAGATTAAAGTAGTCAGAATTCAAGAGCAGACAACAAATTGGCTGAACAAAGATAGCACCAAATACCAACACATCTAGACTATGCCAGAAATGCCTCTCCACTTATTTTTACTTTCTACTGAGGAGAGAAATGAGCTCCTGCTGCCATATACATTCTTTGAATGTCCTGCATGAGAACAAACAAAGGATAACTTCAGACAGCAACATCACATCTGTTCCATGATCTTTCAATGATCCCTTTCGATGATCATTACGTTTTCTGTTTCTCTAGAACCCAATTCCCCATCTTTCCAAATCATTCTCAAGAAGCTTCTGAAGGTAACTGCTTCATATTTAAGAATGGGGATAAGCCCAGTAGAATGATCATTATCTTGGGAAAATACCTCCCAAACTACTACCCTTGGCAGTGTTTCTCCCCCAAAGTTCTACTATTGGAAGCTAATCATATTTGGGACTGCTCTCTCACTACTGGTAAGACCATTTCAGATTACTGGAGTATAATCCACTGGGTTAATATTACACCTCCCAGTAAGCCCAGCGGCCAAGACAAGCCCTTCTCTTATCTGCCCTGTTGCGGGGGCTGCAGGGTATGACTCATCATAGTGGAGCCCAGACTTCAGGTATGGTTATATTTTGATCCTAAAAGCATCTTTTAAAAAATAAGCACCTACAGGCAGCAGAAACTTGGTTGTCAAAGCCATAAACTAATGGCTTAGTGTGGAGTCCTGTGAATCTCAGCCTGGTCTGCCTCCTCAGGGGAGAAAAGGGAGGCAGGAAGACGCGAGGGGAAAGGAAAACAGGGGGAGGGAGGGTCTGGAGGAGAGCGGGCCACGTGCACTCGGCACCTGGCTGGCCGGTTCCCTCCTCTCCCGAGAAGTGTCAAGCTTACGGAGCTACCGGAGTCCTGGCCATAGCCAGACTCAAGGTCTCCCTCTTGCTATCTGAATGCACCGAAGTATTTTTACATGACACTTTTCCAAAAGCAAAGGATTTAGAAGGTTAGAATTGTGCAGTAATTTATGCCCATCCAAAGTAAAACACAATCAAATCTGAGCAAGCATCAAGTTCCAATGTCAAAACTGTTATTATTTTAAAATTCTCTACTGTAACATTTTATAATATAATCCCCAAACAGGATCCTTTCTTCCCTCACTGAACCTCAGTAACCTGTTCCAGAGAGTGGCATCAGTGCAAACAGTATAGCTCCCTGTGGCTTGTGGTGGGGAAGGCCGGCACAGCTGCTGCCGAGGAGAAAGATGTGAAATCGGGGGCAGGGGTGAAATGACGGTGCTCACACACTGCAATTCAGACAAGCAACTGCAGGAAAATTCTTCCATTTTAGCTGAATTTTAAAGAAGAGAGCAGAAAATCTGTTTCTATTTCTCAGAGAAATTTAGATTAAAAAGTAAAAGAGAGGCAGATTCTCTTTACTGCCATGAAGTGTTTTTATTTCTATCTCTTTCTCTACTCATGTGCCTAACCGGTGAAATGACTCTGGAGACATAAGGTCCTGGTCCTGCGTCTCATTTCCTTGTGGTAATTAAAACAGCGGGAGTCCAAAGGGGAATGTGACTAACAACACAACACAGCAACCGAGGGAGGAAAAGCTTCAGCAGTCAAGGTGGCCATGCTGGGCTGACTTCCTGCCCGCGCCCGGGCTGAGCACGTCCATTTCCCACTGGGTGCGGGAAAGAGTATTTGGTTAAGGCTGGTCAAGTCCTTGCGTTTGAGGTTTTACATTATTTGGTAACTAAACCCCCTTTCCCAGGCTTATCTGAGGAAGCTCACACCCCCCTCAAAACAGACCCCTCCCTGAGAAGCTGGCTCAGCTGGGGGCCAGACGCCTCGCTGCCACTCAGGGAGTAAGGGGTTTCGCCAAGGAGAAAAAGCACTTTTATGAACCCTTTTATGGACCTTCAGAAACTACGACATTCCTTGTGTCCTTTCAGGTGGAAGGGATCCAGAAGGTGACAAAGCAGAAGATACCAAAATACGGTAATAAACGAGAGTGGGTTCAAATTCTACTGCTAGAAAAGCAATGTCTTGGATAGAAGTAAATATGCCTTTTAAGGATGCTGCTGAAGAGGCTTCAAATGTTCAAAGTCTGGTTTCCAGGTCACACTCCAAACCGATGAAACCAAAGCCTTGGAACATTCCCTAAAGCTCCCAGGTGACGGTGACCAGTGTGAGGAACGGCACTAAGGGGAGCTCTCACTCCTCTCGCTCTCCTTCTGTAAACGTCAGCTGGAGGCCTTTCTACCCTTTGATTACTTAGGTGGAAAACAGACAAGAAACAATACATTTCTTTAAATTAAATGATCTCTGTCTCATATATGCATCCATCTTTTGTTGAATACAAGATGCTTCTTTTTATTATATACAGTCAGTATTTAACCTCTACATTTGTGTATTTAGTTAAACTCTATTTTGTAGTAAAATATGCATCGTTTTAGTGAACAGGGATTTACTGGCAACGATCAGGTCAACATTCACTGTGGTGCTGAAGGGGCATGGCGTGCCCGGGGCCCACTGGCGAGCCCCACGTGCTGTCTCAGGGCTACAACGAGGCTCTACTGTGAAAACAATGGCTGTCTAATCTTATTCTTATCGCTTACATTTGTGTAATCTGCCTACTTAAGCTACCTTTCAGGGGAGGGGGGAAATATTCTGGAAAGCAACGCTAAGTGTATGAAATGAACTCGGTATTCATCTGAGCTGCTCAATGAAAGTCTGCCTTTGCGGCTGTTGCTGTTCAGTCGAGGGGCGCGTGGATGTGAGTCCTAGAGGCAGAATTCCTGAGTCCCCGCCTGCTACTGCTGCGGCCCTGGCGCTTCCAGGCAGGGGCGGTGGGAGACGACAGTGA